CAGCATCCGCCGGCCTCCGCCCCCCTCACCCCCCGGCACCCCCCGGCACCCTCCATCACCCTCCGGCACCCTCCATCACGGGGCTGAGCAGCCTCCTGACTTCACCCCTGCGGCCATCAGTAGGTTCCAGAGTTAACGCCCTGCTCTTCGCCACCAGCCACCACCTTAGAGCGGCATTTAAATACTCAGAAAAGGCTCCAAAGGGACAATTTTGCCGCTTCGCTGCATTTTTCACCTCGACGGACCCCAGATGCCCCCTTGGGGCTGCCCCAGATGGGGGGAGAGAACCACCTCCTTCCTGCACCCCGCACCACCCCGAGAAACCTGTAATTACACCGAACAGCTTTAACGCTTGGCGTTGTTGTTAATTAATTAGTCCCAGAGCCGCAGCTGGGCCGGGGGTACCCGGCTTCCCCAGCACCCTGCCCCGCATGCACAGGTGCATACAAGCGTGCATGAGCACGGGGGTGCTTGTGCAAGTGTGTGCATGTGCGTCGCAAGCACATGCCCGTGTGTGCGCACACCTGCGCAAGTCTATGCAAGCATGTGCCCATTTGCGTGTGTGCAAACGTGCAGGCATGTTCAAGTGCACGCAAGCACGCGTGCAACTGTGTGTGCATGCTGCAAGGGCGCACACATGTGTGCAAGTACAGGCAAGAACGTGCCCAGGCAGCTTCCCAGCCACACTGCGGGCCCTGTGCGATGGTGCATGAGCACGTGTGAGCCTTTACACACGCATGCAAGCGAGCAGGTGTGTGCCGGAGTGCGCACGTGTGCACGGGAGCACATGTCTGGGAGCGCATGTGCACGTGTGTTGGTGAGCGCTCCTGGGCGTGCAAGCAGCTGCGAGGATGCGTGTGCAAACACACGCGAGCGTGTCCCAACAAAACCCTCCGGCTGGGGATGGCGCCCCGGGCGGGCACCCATGGGTGGGTTTCGGAGGCGCGGAGCGTAATCCTGCCGAAATCTGGCAGCTCGGCGGCTGTTCTTCGCCGCCGCCTGGGTTTATTTTTAAACCCGTTGGCCCCGAGTGATTCACACGCTGCCTGTTCTCCGCTGCTCCCCAGCAAGTTTTACGCGACCAAAATAGATGTTCTGGAAGGAACGGGCCGCGCGGTGAGGCCGCGGCGGGGGAAAGCAAGGTACTCCCTCCCCACCGACAGGGAGCCTGGCCTTTGCAAGGGTGAAAACGTTGCCAAGCTGCCCCCGAGATGGTGGTTTTGGGGAGATGGTGGTGCAGAATCCCCCAGGAAGCAAGATCGTGGGGTGGGAATTTAACCGGGATCATCAATACCAGGCTTTAGAGGAAGGTGCAGGGCTGGGGGGATCCCCCCATGCCAGTCCCGCTGGCACTGGAGCCCCCCAGGCCCCGCATCCGGCAAGGCGGGGGTCAGGCAGGGCGAGGGCAGGGCCACGGGATGGGTGAGATGGGGGAGAGCCCACAGCACACACGGAGCAGTACCAACTCCCCCAGGGTTGGCTCCCCTTGGCCCCAGCCCGCCCGGGTGACAAAAGATACCAGTTTACACCACCTTGGGGGGAAAAAAAGGGTAAAAAGCAACTTTTCAAAACTGGAGGAGCTAATAACCCCTATCCTCTGTGCCTGCCCCCTGCCCAAGGCCCGAAGCGCTGCGGCCAAGCAGCAAACTATGGCCCCTGGGCTGCTCGCGGCAGCGGGAAGAGCCAGGCAGAAGCTGCCACGCAGAGACGGAGCAGACGCCCAGGCCTGAGGCGCTGGAGGCCACCGGCACAGACTAAAAGCTGGCCACCACAGAGCCACGCTTCCCAAAGCGAGGCCTAAGAGCTGCCCTGGGGACACTGGGTGGCAGCAGCGGAGCCCGGGGGCAGAGCACAGGATGTCCCCCCAGGGAGAAGTTCCAGGTGAGGCTGGGAGGACAGGGCAAGGATCTCACGGCATGCCAAAGCCCAGTGGAAGGAAGCCTTGAGCACAAAGCCAGGACAGCATTCGCGACCAAACCAACAGAGAAAAGGGGCATAAGCTTCCCATGGAGGCTTAAAGGAAGCACAGGAGCATCTTCTTCCATGACACAGGGCCCTTCCCCTCCCACCCTGCCTAGGGGGAAAAAATATCCCTCTTTCCCCAAATCTGGCTGAATTTCTCTGCTCTGGGGTGGTTGGGCTTCACAGTCTTTTTCCCCCCTTCTTTAAGATGTATCACTTCAGTGGAGCGCTGCTCCTCTTTCACAAGAGGGTAAAGAAATGCAAGACCTGACAATTTTCAAATATTTTTCATCCATTTTAATTTTAAATTTTTTAATTTAAAGTTCAATACTAAAAGGTTTCCATCCATAACAGATCTCACTCATTTAAGACCAAGACACAGCATCCAACAGTCCCAGCAGCCAGGATTTCTCCCCAAGAGATTCTCTGCCTTCAGCTTGGTTTCCCACATGCCTACCCCAGCCCTCAAAGGACAAGAACAATGACTGTCCCAGCTCTGTGGGACAGCAGCACCACCAGTCTCTTCTCTGAGAGAAACACTATACAAACCCAATCCCTCTGGAGGTGGGAGGGCAGGAGCTGAGCTCCCCAGCCTAAGGACAAGTGCACAGGAGAGGGACGGGTGAGTTGGCCAAACCCTGAGCAGAGGTGAGAGCTCACTGAAGCACTGAGCAGTGACACCATCATGTCCGCGCGCTGCCCGGCAGGTTTGCAGGGTCTCCTCGGAGAGGCTTTGGCATGTCTCTGTCTCAGGAGGAGCTGGCAGCAGACAGGTTTGGGGCAGCAGCGGCGGCAGCTCACAGGCAAGGCTCCTGCCGGGCCTTAGGCAGATTGACGAGGGACAAGAACAGGAGCCAAGGCCACAACATTGGCCACTGCTGCGTGGGAGGCCACAGTGTCCTGGCACAGACAGTCCCCTGTGCGTGTGCAGATGGCAGAAGGTCAAGGTGAAAAAACAGGGGGAGCCCACACCTTCTCTCTGCAGGGACAGAGTCTGTGACAGCAGCAGAGGCTAAACAGAGTTTATGCAGCTGAGGGGCAACCGGCAACCACCAGAGCCACAGGGACAATGCTCCGCCACTGGCATCGCTGGAGCAAACCCTACCTGGCTCCTGCCAACAATAACCCTCGCATGGTCTCCCAAAACTCATCTGAGCATGAAAAGGCACCTTTTTCTTCTTTGGGGTCATTTATTTATAGATTTAAAGAAATCAAAATAGAAAAAGAGATGAAGAGTGCACACTAAGGAAAAAAAAAAGTTCATTGCAATAAAGCAAGAGACGAAGTTGGGGGTGGGAAGGGTCCCTCTGCCAAACCAGCAGCTTTTGAGGGAGAGAGGGATTGTTCCTCCTGTGTGCACAGCGACCAAGGGCTGTGGGACTTGCCCTTCAAAACCCGCCAAATTCATTTTCACAGTATCCTACGAAGAGAGGCTGAGCCTGGACACCACGCCTGGAAAGAGAGCAGAGGGATGACATTAGGCAGAGGGCACACGCAGGGCTGAGTGGTGTGAGCAGCATCAGTGTCCTGTCTCAGGTGTGACAAGGAGGGAGCAGTTTTTATTCTGCGCTTACAGACAGTTTTTTGCTCCTGCATGAGAGCACACGGCAAGGGCAGTGGTGCTGCAGGAGGGGTGGCAATAGCTGACGGGTCCCCCTTCCTCAGCACAAAGCCCTCTCCTCGACAGAGCCACCAGCCCACGCCAGCAGCAGGGGCTCTCTTCCAGCACTGCACAAAGCAAGCTCTGCCCACGCACAGGCAGCAGAAAGGCTGGGGATTTTCAATAGGAACAAGGGTCATTCTGCACCAGGGAAAGCCCACTTCACCCTCGCTGCCCTCCCCAGGGTCCAACCCCAAGAGGCCTTTGTACTGTCCCCGTGAGCTGGTGCCCAGCTGCGAGGAGGGACATTACCCCAGGAGCTTGCAGCGGAAGTCAGCCAGCCGTGTGTAGGCATCTTGCAGGTCCCGGACGGTCGCATTACTCCACAGTCTCTCAGCTACGGCCCCAGCTCTTGGCCTTGAGGAAGGAGGGACACAGGCAGTCAGGACAGGGGACAGTTCGAAAGGCTTCTCACACAAAGCCCTGACCTCGTAAACACTTTCCTGACCAAACACACAAACAGCTTCTGTACATCAACAGATCCACTCCTAGACACACGCAGATCAGGGGTGACAGGACAGAGACCAGCATTAGACACATACCAGCAGGTTGTATAGACACATATGCAGCAGCAGGTTGTACAGAGCATGTTACAGTCTTAAAACCCCTCATTTAAGCCTCAGTGAAGCTGTTGCTAGCACAGAGGCGCTGCCAGAGCACAGGGACAAAGCACCATGTGCAGCCCAAGCCCACAGCATTTGGCACTTGCTGCTCAGTGGCGAAGGACAGGGGCCCGAGTCCTGCTCTGTGCAACTCGAGCTCCCCTCCCCACCACCTCACTTACCAGAGCCTGGGGGCCAGGTTAGTGACGTCCACGTATTCACCCCACATGCACGCCTCTCCGCCGATCACCCGAGCCTTCTGCTCGGAGCTGCCTGCCAGGGGACACAGCGCTCAGCTGAGGGGGTGTTCTAAGATAACGGAGCGACCTATTGCCCTACCCACAGAGGTGCTTGTAACAGCGGTGAGTGGCTCAGCTACAGAGGCAATTAATTTGCCTTTCTGGAAGCCCCCGCTTCACACCCCAGGCTGGGGGAGAGCAGAGTTGTTTTCTGCCAGCAGCAAGGGAGTGGGATGTAGCACAGGAAGCAAGGACGCTGTCACTCAAGCACCCTCACACTGGCTGTGAGAACTTAGTAAGACAGCCAGCCCTGGTGCTACCTCTAAGTCAGCTGCCATACAGGAAGGGGACACAAGGAACACACCTTCGAACTTCAAGGGCTCAACCTGGTAGGCTGCCATCCAATCCTGCCCATAGGAGATGCGGTTGAGGTACCAGGGGGCTGAGAGCAGAGCCCGGTAGCCAGCCTTGGTGACATTGGCCATCTCCTCCGTGTATGGCGTGGGGTTCTCCTTCCACACATGGATGATGGTGTCTGGCCTCACCTGAGGGGCATACATGAACCCCATGTGTGGGATCAGTGTGGCAACAAGAGCACTATACTCCCCCCACAAGCAGAGTGCCCTGACCCATCCGCAGCTTTGACTGAGGCAGATTTTGGCTTGGCTTTTGAGCCACTTCCCATCTGATTTGCAGAAGCAACAGAAGGAAGGATAAGGCCATTTGCAGAGTGTCCTGGGCAGGGCTAAAACTTGCCTCTTGCAGGTGTTTATATAAACCTGGAGAGAAGATACCATTGACAGCAGTGTGACAAAGCCACCACGAGGGCAGCTCACTGGCAGCACCATCTCAGGATCAACCCCAGTCCCAGGACAGAGTTCCAGCACAGGAACTCTTTACCACAGCACAGGTAACAGCGTTAGGGAAAGCAGGCAGCTCTCACCTTCACTGCATTGTCAAACACCTCTTGCCACACGATATAGCCTTTGCCAAGGGAAGAGATGATGTCCAGAAGCCTGGAGTGGAAAGAAGACTGAGTATTGAGTCATCCCTGCTACACTCCCCTCTCTTTGCTGGCTGCATACAGCCAAAGCAGCCACACCGATATTCCCAACAGGCATAGCAGGACGTGAAGGTACTTCTGAAGGAGAACGGAGAAAGTACAGCCCCTTACAGGGCTTCTTTCTGTTCAGCCTCAGGCTTTTTTGGGGTCAACCCCAATAAAACATGGCTAGGCTACTCCCTTTGGGGTCAGGGAGACATGCCTGAATGGGCAGGCTCCTGAAAAGGAGATCTGGTGGCCCAGAGGCAGCAGAAGACATTTGTGCTGGTCACATACTGCAACTGCAGACCCACGATGTAACTGTCCTTACCTCTGGATGTAGAATGACTCTAATTTTTTGTAATCTTCACCAAAGCCCATCTCCTTCATGAAAGCACGAATGTTTGGATTGGATTTCCTGTGTACCAAAGAGAGAAGAGTAAAAGCACTGCAACCCGAGCTCTGGACTAAGGCCAAGACATGGCCAAGTCCATCCCACGTCGGTCCAAGGCTAGCCCAGGCAGCTGTGGGTGCACTGGCACCAGTGGCTTCCCACAAACAGTGTCACCGTGAGCACAGAAACCCCAACCCACAGAGCCTGGGGGAGCAGGACACCAAAGATCTGCAGATGATCATGACCAAAAAGCAATGGGCTGGGACTCCAGTCCCAAACACTTCTCCCCAGCCCCCATCCAGACCAATCCCAGACTCACCAGCACGTGAAGTCCACCTCATCGCCACCGAGGTGAAGAAAGAAGTCTGGGAACACAGCGCTGACCTCTTGAAACAAACTGGTCACAAACTGGTAGGTGCTGTTAAGGATGGGGTTGATGGGCCCATAGGTCCCAGAAGGATCCTTGCCCAAATAGCAGGGAGTCAGGAGGCCTGGAGCACCTGGGTCATAAACACAGGACAGTGAGGAAGGGGCTAAATGTGGCTGCATGGCCCCATACAACCCCCCAGACCCCCCCTCAGCACGGCTCAGTGCCTGCCATGGAAGCAGAAGACCCAGACACTGTGCACGAAGAACAATCATGGCAGCAGAAACATGATCTCTGGCTCAGGAAGCCTGATCTGACAGGGAAGGATCTGTGTTTTGTGCTCATCTTGTGCTCCCCCCCACACACATCCACTGCCACCCCAAACATGCGCCCCCAGGTGAGATCAGAGCTTGAGCCTTTTAGGCTGGACACCTTTTTTGCCCCCCTCCCCTCCCTGCAACAGTACTCTGAGGATGGAACACAAACACACCCAGTCCTTGCAGGATGCTACAGTTTCTACCCTTCCCAGGTTTCCCCTTGGTATCTCTCCTCACTGCCTTTTTGGGGACATTCCTGAGGGAAACCACTCAGAGCTGTTGGGGAAAGGTAACGCCGGTGCAGTCCCCAGCACCCCCTCCCAGCTCCACGCATCCGTGTCTGCAGCGGGAGGAGGGGCAGCCCCAGTTTTGGCTGTGACCACATGAACAGGGTGCACCCCAGTGCGGGCCACGGCATTTGTATGCAGGGGAAGGAGAAGGCAAGACAAGGCAACTTTTTCCTGGAGCTTCTCACACTTCCAGACACTGAAAAGGAGACACTTGCAGTCCTCAGAGCAGGGAGCAGCATGTCAGGACTGGGGCACAGCTGAGCAGAGTGAGGAAGCTTGGTCAGCTGTTCCCCAGCTTGAAGCCAAGATCCTTGCATATCCACGATGTTGGCAGAGCAGATGTTCTCTCCAAAAAATCACACAGCTTGGACCCAAGAAGAGATGGAAATGTTTTCCTTTCAGATTTTGTTCCAGAAGTTGGACCATTGGGCCCTTCTTCCCTCAGACAATGGTCCACTCCTCCTTCAGACAGCCTGCAGGACTGGCTTTCAGGATCCAGGTTGCACATCCCCTTCTTCCCCCTCCCCAGTGCAACTACAACTCTCCTCACAGCAGCAGCAGGCAGGGTCTGCTCCTCACCTGGACCCCAAGAGAGGGTGTGCCCAGGAGTGTCGAACTCTGCAACCACTCTGATGCCACGCAGCCGGGCGTACTCGATCACCGTCTGCACGTCACTGGCTGTGTAGATGTGGGTCATGGCATGGAAGGCTCCCTGGGGGGACATGGGAAACCTCAGCACCTTGCTCAGGATCTGCTCGCCCTGGGCTGGGCGCTGCACAGTGATAGGGGTGGGTTACCTGCTTGCTGAGCTCTGGGAAGGTCAAGCTCTCATAGGGGAAAGATGGGTCATCCACAATGTGCCAGTGAAACACATTGAACTTGTTGTAGGCCATGACGTCCTGGGAAGGAACAGGAACAAAGAAGAACAAGCCATGTCCCTTATGAAAGGTCACCCAGCTCGCCACAGAAAGGGGACAAAGTCCCTGTGCTCCAGAAGGACAAAGCAGAGCCCCTAAATGCTCCTCAGTATCCAGGAGGGATTCAAACACCTCTCTTCAAACACACCAGCACCATAAAGAGCTGCAGAGGGCCAGCAGTACTTCTTCTCACAATAAAATCTCTGTTCTCCCTATAACTGAGCCAGTGGTGGGGACCTGGAAGTTTAATTCTGCTTGGGATGAACACAGAGCCACCACACCCTTTTGTCTAATGTGGCTGGGAAGAAGTCAAGTGTTTCCCCTTGCCTCAGAAAAAAAACGGGCCTTGGGAAGTAATCTGGATTTCAGGAATCCAAGATACCTCAGAAAGCTGAAAAATCACCCAAACGAGGGAGCTGTGAGTTACACCAGGAACAAACACACCCATGGGCACTGGGAAGGACCTGCAGCACAGAAGCATTTTCCCATGATGCACATCTGTATATTAAGAATTGAGGTCATGCTGTCATCCCACCCCAGCCTGCCACATCTAGGGACAAGCAAGCTGGTTTTGTTCAAAAAGTCTGGGTTTGACAAGCTCCTCCTTGACGAGATGTAGATGCAGTGGCCTAGGCATTAGACAGCTCCCAGCATCTTTGGAAAGGAGCAAAACCCCAGAGAGCCCTCCAGGCTACTCAGGGAGTCCTCAGTTTTCACAGAGGAATGGACACTTTGTCTCCCAGCACAGGCATCTTACCAGAGTTTCCAGGATGGCTCTCAGAGGCAGGTAGTGACGAGAGGTGTCCAGCAACAATCCCCGATGAGGGAAGCGGGGAAAGTCCACAATTTCTGTGTTGTTGATGTAGTACTGCACATGGAGAACAAGAGGAAGAAGTGAGCAGGGCTTCAGGCAACACAGCCATTAGCAAGAGACAATCAGGGTCACCTCTGTCCCCAGGGCTGGCGGGATGAGGAGGGGTACCCTCACTGCCCAGAGCGCAAGCTAGCCAGAAAGAGCTGCAATGCTTTACCACTCAGAAGGCTGGATTCATAAATCTCTACTTGGCCTTTGGCAAGGCTGTGCTGCACTGCTGGTACCCTCCTCATCCTGAGCACCCCAGCAATCCTGAGCCTGTCCCCATGGAGGCAGGGGCATTACAGAGAGCTGACTGACCCCAGGAGATGAGGCCAGGACTCACCATGCCGTTCTCATCTCTCCCAACGAGCTGGCTGAAAGTTTCCAGGCCTGCGAGAAAACCACACAGCACAGATCCCTTTCTCAGCACAGATTCCCCCAAAGGAACAGAGCTCAATTAACAAATAAGTCTATGAAAAGAGAGAGGCACAGAGAGACATTCCCATAGGCCTGAGACAGGGAGAGCGGGAATGCCCCACAGAAAGCACACCTCACCTCTGAGAGCTCCCCAGACAGCATCTGCGGAGAGCAGCAGGGAGCCTTCCGAAACAGAGAGCTTATCTGAAACACAGCATCAGAGGGGCCGGCGCTGGCATTAGGTCCCACATTCCAGTGGGTGCAGCAGCACCAGGCAGAAGTTTTGATACAGGACTGCACCCTGGGATCCCCAGAAACCTGATTTGGGGGTTTCTTTTTTTCTTTTAAACCTCTCCCACTGCTTCATCAGCATCCTCAGGTAAGTCGCCCCCTCCCTGCCCACTTCTCAATAATACCATAAGGATTGTTGCCTCCCTGAAATCGGGGGTAAGTGCTGCAGATTGCTATTTCCAACTGATGAGCACAGAAACAGCTGCAATCCTGCTCCTGTCACTCCCTCCCACTCCCAACCCCGATACTCACAGCTCTCCTTGGAGTCCAGGCTGGGAAACCCATCACAGCCTGGTGTGGCAACGAAGACAAGGAGCTGAGTGCAGGGTGTGCCCCAGGGTTGCTCGTTCTCTGCAAGGGACACATATCACAGACATCAGCCCCATCCTGGCTCTTTTACCTGCTTCCAGGAGGCCACTGTCCTCCCAGACCATCTAGCAATGGAGCTGCAGGAGTACATGGGCAGAAAGGGGTACCCCCTCCTTCACCCCAGAGCAGGGACAGGGAGTGCTCAGCAGGGGCAACCAGAAGCACAGGAGCTGACCCCAGCTTTTAGTGTGGAGAAGGTCTGATGGTGAGGCAGCCCCCAGGGGAGGCTTCACAGTTGAAGCTTAAGGGAGCACACCACAGAAGAGAGACATCAGAGCATGGTCTAGCCCCCAAAGCTTCCTGCACACCGGCCCCTGCTCTAACCAACAGCCATGACCACTCAAATCTGCTCCAAGGTGGGGAAAAGCTTCATGTTTCCAAACTCTCCCAGCACTACAGAAAAAAGCACACACCCAGGAGTTCTGCCACCCTACCTGCACTTCTCAGAAAGGGCAAAGAAACCCGGTAAAAAAGGGTGGAGAATGAATCCAAACATACTAAACAGTCAGGCTGTTAGAGGCCACCAGAAGGTCTCGCCCAGCACAGAAAGGCTCCTGACCGACCTCACTTTCTTCTGCAGAACAGGTCCCAGACACAGCAGCCAGAAAAATAAACCCAGTCACGTTCAGACCCCAAGCAGGAGCTCTGGCTACGCTTCTCTATCTGAAGGAGCACTTCCTGGGATGCACAGGCCCGAGTTCTCACTGGAATCACTCCCCCAACCCCAAAGGGAGGCGTTCAGCCTTTGCCGAGATGCACGGGTCTACTCACAGCAGTCTCTGGCCAAGAGGAACGAGGGTTAGTGGGGTGGGATCCTGCTAATCACTGCCAGGGTCCATGCCTGCACCCCTCCAGCATTCCCAGGAACAGCCCATGTTCAGTATGGTCACTAAAAAAATAAAAAGCTTGGCTTTGAGTGAAGCTGGCCAGAAGCCAAGCACCAAGCAGACTTCAGAGAGACCATGGCACCACCAGTGTTTTGGTGAAATGCAGAGAGCCCATGCTCCAAAGCTTGCAGGAGCCAGAACCCCCAAATTTTCTCCATGACGGAATGGCGAAACCTCCACAGAAAGAAGAGAAATGGCTTGAAGGTAGCCCTCTGGTTTGAGCTTTCCTCTTGGTTACAGACGAGCCGGTAGCCAAGGCAACCTCGCAGATGTGCAAGCTGGCACGGCAGCACAGCAAGACCTGCTCCCTCTGCTCAGCGAGACGGCAGCTCACCAGAGACAGCCACTCGCAAGCCTGGGGACACGGGAAATACTCTTTCTGCTGAGAAGCCTCGACAGGATTGGTCCCATCACCACACACCACATTTAAACCCACCCAGGGAGACACTGCCAAGCCCATAGTCTCCTGGGCCAAGGAGCAGGCAAACACCACCACTACCACACCTAGAAGGCACTGCAGATGGGCACAGCAGGGATCAGTGACCCATCAATCACAAAGGCTGAAGTTCACCGTTCAAAAGAGCACTCTGAAGGCACAAGTCAAGTTAATTATGGTCATGGACTGGAAGACAAGGACATTAACACAATGACTGTGGCAGATTAGCACTTAGCACCTGTGAGACATTAGTCTGGCTTGAGTTCCATGCAGGGTCCTAGGTCTCAGACTCATAGCGGCTCAGCTTAAGGACAACAGGCAAGGGAAGAGCAGCAAGGGAAATCCCAATTAGAGAGAAGGAAAACAAAATAATTCTTCACCTTGAGGGTGGTCAAACACTTCAGCAAGGACTGTTCTCCATCCTTAGAAATACCACAATTTCAGCTGGACACTGCTCTGAGAAACTTGACAAAACTGCAAAGTTGGCTCCAACTCCAGGTTTGGCCCTATTTTGAGCAGGCGCTTGACTAAAGACCCCCATAAGTCCCTCCTAACTTAAATCAACCTGTTTTCACACTTGAAGTCCAGGATGAATGCAGAGTTTGGACATAATCTTGCTTGCTTATTAAACTGACAGAGTAGCTTTCTGAAACAGGCAGAAAATGGTTTCTCCTGTTTATTTTCTCTATTAAGAGAAACTATTTCCTTCCATTCAGGGTTTTCATTGCCTGTTCTTCCTAACAACCTACATACTAAAAAAAAAAAAGGAAGACAAAAAGGGGAAAGAGCTTGAAGCCTTAAAATTAATCGTGTCATTTGAGTGTCATAAAGCAGGGCATATGGAATGCAGTGAGTATGAGCTCCATCTCATGATCCCATGAAGTTGCTCCAAGTGATGCAATGGTCATATGGTCATACTTCCACTTCGGGAGGAACAGGAAAATGTGAATAATTACATCAGCTGGTTTTAGTTCCCAGCAGCAAAAAATGAAACAACAGGAGTCTTCTGCAGCTCCCGTATCAAGATTTATTTCTACTGCTACTTACAAGAGTTGAAATAAAGTAAGCCAAACGGTTCTTAGTGTTTCAAACTTGCCTTTGTCAAAGCACGATGCGCTCGAGATGAAGCAGGGCGGCTTCTGCTTTGATCAGCAGCGACAGAGTTCACGCTGACATTTAAAACACTCGGAGGCAGAGTTACTAGCTCTTTTTGATGAATGAAGCATTTCATATTCCCCAGATATAGCGCTTCAGGCTGCTGCAGACCCACGCAGGCACTGAGCATCCGTGCACACTGGCTCCCCAGCCTGTGCTTGCCTCTGCAAACACAGCCAGGGAATTTCCTGCATTTTATCCCAGACATACAACGGGTGCTATCATGACGAAGTCCGGGGGCAAGAAACTTTTATAACCTGTCCTAAACCAAGCCCAGGCTCTCAAAGATTTTGCCTTTCCTCATCTCACCCTAGAATTTCAGGATGAATCCAAGAGCTACTACCTCTCTGCCAGAAAAGCCATGCTGCCTCAGGGCACTGAGCAGCTCAACTTTGGCAGCAAGTGCCCCATGGCACGGTAAGAAACACACACGAAGCAACAAGAGTCTTTCTTCAAGGTAAAGCTTCACACTGGACACCAAGAACTGCTAGAAACAGGAAAAGCCAAGACTTGCAAAAAAGCACCGAAACTGGAGCAATTGCAACACCAGCAACAGCTCTCCCTGCAGTCACAAGAAAAGGAAGCAAACCAAAGTGTTGGTGAGCTGAAACACGATCTGAAGATAAAAAAACGAGATGGAAAGAGCAAACTCTTGATAGCAAGAGCCCAACTCCTTGAAGGAAACGCAAGACTAGTGCTTACTGTGCCAAACAGGATTATATTTTACTTTAAAACGTGAGTGCCGCAGGCATTGCCCTCCACATACAAACGCAACGCTGCCCTGGGCTACAAGACTCGATTCAAGCCACTGCGCCACCAGGCCACAGCCACCAACTCCCCTCGCCACCAGCCCCTGCTGAACTGAGGAAATACGGCGGTTAAAAACCAGATCGCCACACAAATGCCCCGTGGTTTGAGCCCCCGCATACACGAGGGTTTGGGCTGGGGGCTTTGCTTTAAAGAATAAAGCCTCACACGTAAGGGTCAACCGCCCTTCCTGCAGCCCCTCGTCCCCGCGCGGGGAGGCCGCCGAGCCCCCCCGCCCCGCCGGCAGCCCCCGCCCCGCCTCACCGGTCGGG